ACACAGGAACGATGAACTCGATCGACCACTATAGAATCACCCACCGTGTAGATACATAAACAAGAATACCCAAAGCATCACTAGGCATAGCCAGGTAGGGTGCAAAATAGGACGACACATACAATATGTAGACCCAGGATCAAATAGCACTGAAGCATCTCTAATACAACTCAGAATGGTACCTGTAATGTCTGCACCTGAAGACTCAGCCTCTGGCCTGGCTGCTGGCTGGCCTCTACCTCTGGCGACCTGAACTCCACCTCTAAGACCTCTACCTCCACCTCTAACACCTCTGCCACCGCCTCTAGCTGGCTGGGCAGGCTGTGGAACCTTCGGTGCCTGAATCATAGCACGAGAACTCTGATGCTGGAAGCTGCCATAAACTCAAGGGCAATATCTGACAATGTGCCTCGGATCACCACAAGCATGGCAAGACCTCGTCTGCTGCGGCTGAGCACCCCTCAACATCGGGTAAACCCTCCTGTTGTGACCATACTCACCACACTCATAACACCTACACGAACGCTGCAGCTGAGGGAACTGAGGCTGACCCTGTCGACCTGAATGACCACCTAAAGTACCATGAGTGACCTGGAGAGTTGACTGAAAAGGCTTGGGAGGATGGCCTCTACCATAAGAACCTCTACCTCCTGACGAGGTACCACTGAATCTGCCTGTATGACGGGGCCTCTTATCCGACCCATGACCACCTCCCTGTGGCAGAGTTATCTCAAGTCTACGGCCTACATTGGCCACCTCCTGAAAAGTGATCTCACTCCCGGCCTGAGCCACTATACCCGGCTGACCTGCCACCGCTGGCGGAACCACTAGATTCAAACCCGCTCAAATGACACCCACTATGAGGCCTACCAATCGGACTAGAACGTCCTGAAGAACTGGGGTGGCAATGAACCCTTCTGGGACCTGAGCTGGGCCCACGGAACTGCTGGGACGGAAACCTCCTCCTCAAAATCAACCTAAGGCTCCGCCACTGGGGCTGCTGCTGGGGTCTCAGACTGTTGAGCGGTAGATGAAGAAGCGCGTGTTCTCGCCATCTGCGAAAGAACAGTGTAGAAATTCAACCGGTGTTTGAGAAACAGAACCGCACGACAAGAAAGAACGAATGTGAAGTGTTTCCTAACTCTGTAGCCTCTGGGGGATAAATACAGACGTCTCCGTACCGATCCCTCAGACTCTACCAAGTTTTTCCGTGATTTGTGAGACCTATGTAACCTAGTGCTCTGATACCAACTTGTCACGACCCGGATTTCCCACCCTCGGGAGTCGTGATGGCGCCTACTAATCGGAGCTAGGCAAGCCAAGTATTAAAACAATGTCCGATAACATCTCAACAATATAAATAAAACGAGCCATTTAAATTAAAGCGGAAGTCTTAAGTATAAATAAACTAAAAACAAATACGGAAACTCAATTTCAACCTCTACCCAAGACTGGAGTCACTAACTCACGAACGTCTATAGAATACTACATACAAAGTCTGAACAAGGTACAATACTGTTTGCTTCGGAACAAGTGATAACAAACTGAATAAAATAGGAAAGGACTCCGGCCTGCGGACGTCAGCAAGGCTACCTCGAATGTCCTTGGACTGAAGTCAACTCCTAGTCAACTACTGTTGCGGTCCAAAAGCTACTTCGGTACCGTGATCTGTGCAAAAGAGCACAGAAGTGTAGCATCAGCACAACCGACCCCATGTGCTGGTAAGTGCCTGGCCTAACCCCGGCGAAGTAGTGACGAGGCTAGATAGGACTACCATACAAACCTGTACAGTTCAACATATATATGCAATAAAAGGGAAGAATAAAGAAATTAAACAGTTAAGAGGGAGGGGAGCATTTTATGGGGGAGTACAGTCCGATATAAAGTCAATAATTTAAGTAAGGAACAGGGCAATAACAATAATTAATGGGAGCAGGAAAATCAACAGTTGCACGGCATCAACATTCATGCTTTTACTCTCATTCTCACCAAAAGCAATCAAATAAAGTGCACGGCATCACCCTTCGTGCTTTCCCTCACATAACTCTCATATCATGGCACGGAATGATCCTTCGTGCAATTATAATCAAATCAGAGCACAGAATGTCCCTTCGTGCATAAATAATCAAAGCATGGCACGGAATGACCCTTCGTGCAAATATAATCAAAACAGAGCACGGAATGTCCCTTCGTGCATAAATAATCAAGACATGGCACGGAACGACCCTTCGTGCAAATATAATCAAAGCATGGCACGGAATGACCCTTCGTGCAAATATAATCAAAACATGGCACGGAATGACCCTTCGTGCAAATATAATCAAAGCATGGCACGGAATGACCCTTCGTGCAAATATAATCAAAGCATGGCACGGAATGACCCTTCGTGCAAATATAATCAAAACATGGCACGGAATGACCCTTCGTGCAAATATAATCAAAACATGGCACGGAATGACCCTTCGTGCAAATATAATCAAAGCATGGCACGGAATGACCCTTCGTGCATTATCACTCTTCCTCACCCAAACAGTAATCACAACCAAACGGAGAGAGGGGATAAACAAATAATAAGAAATGTCCCGGCAAGGGAATTACACAATTAACAGCTAAATCCCGGCAAGGGAGCAACACCAATACTTTCACATCCCGGCAAGGGAGATAATCAATATACTCAAACCATCCTGGCAAGGGATTAATCATATCACTTTCTATTTCTTTCATTTCTTACTCAATAGTCTTTTTATCGTTCGAGCCAACGCTCCAATGAATTTACAATTCATAATTAGTCCTCATACTCTTCACATTGCATAGAATTCATCAATTAACATGGAAGAGTCATAACAATGTCAGGATAAGTACATACAAGGACCCACGGTCATGCTAGACACCAATGTATAGATACTCGTCACCATGTCTATACACCGTATTCGATCATTTAGCAATTAGCAAATAATAACACTCTAATCATATTCCTTCAAGCCAAAGTTAGATCAAACACTTACCTCAAATGCCCCAAAATCAACTCAAGCCCCTAGTATAGCTTTACCCCTCAAATTTGGCTCCAACTCGGTCAAATCTATGAAATAATGACTTTACAATATTAATAATAGCTAAACAAACTAAATCCAATGCCTAAATATGACTTTCTAAGCTTTCTTCCCAAAAATTCCAAAATCGACCCCGGGCCCGCTTGGTCAAAACCCGAGGTTCGAACCAATTCCATGTCACCCCCTCCCCCCATGAGCCCGGATATACAATTTGTTTTCAAATTCGACCACCAAAACAAGGTCTAAATCAAAGAAAATTAAAAAGCGCTAACTCTACCCTTTTTCCCCAATTTACACCCTAAATTACATGTTTTAGGTCTAGGAATTTGATAAATGATGATAGAAAATGAAGAAAACGAGTTAGATAATACTTACCCAAGAAGCTTTGGTGAAGAAGAGCTCTAAAGATCGCCTATGGGCTGTGGAGAAGATGAGTTCGTGTGTTTTGGGTGAAAAATCCCGTCAATGTTCTGTTTTTGAGCTTTAAAAATCACTGGGCAAAAATGCCCTTCGCGTTCGCGGGAAGGGGACCGCGTTCGCGAAGGGTAAACTGGGCAGGTCATCGCGAACGCGTGGAAGATAATGCGAACGTGTAGAAGGAAATGCTGGGGGGTCCAGGTTTGTTCTATGCGAACGCGTAAAAGGCCACGCGAACGCGATGGAGGGAGCAACAAGTCTATGCGTTCGCGAACATCTGACTGCGAACGCGAAGAGGAAGTCTCTGGGGTCCTGAACTTGACTTACGCGATCGCGATTATGGAGATGCAAACGCGTAGAAGGGGAACACCATGGGCAGTGCGAACGCGAGCCTAAGGCCGCGATCGCGAAGAAGAAAAGGCCTGTGCAAAAATTGCAGAAAATCTGCTATATTTCTAAGTGCAAAACCACTCCGAACCACCTCCGAATCACTCCCGAGCCCTCGGGGCTCCTAACCAAACACACACGCTAACCCAACAACATCCTACGAACTTAACCATGCGATTAAATCGCCAGAATAACATCATAAACAAGGAATCAAACCTCAAAATCATCACTTTTTCATCAAACTTCATAAACTTTTATTTTTAGATATTTAGGTCCGAAACACATCAAATGACGTTCGATTTCGACCAAATTTCACGGAAAGCGCTTAACACATATTTAAGACTTGTTCCGGGCGTCGGAACCAAAATACGAGCTCGATACCATAGTTGACCGAAGTCAACTTTAATCATTTTAAAGCCACATTTTGAAATTTTTCACAGAATTTAACATATAATCTTTTCCGGCTACGCGCCCGGACTACGCACGCAAATCGAGGCAACTAAAGGTGAGGTTTTCGAGGCCTCGAAAGCGCGGAATGAATGAGGAAACAGGTGATGACCCTTTGGGTGGTCACAACTTTATTTGTATATGGCACACCCCAAATTATTTTAAGAAGAATTAATTCTTGATCTAAATTTGTGAGGGCCATGTGTTATAAGTTTAAAACATGGCACACCTCAAATTATTTTAAGAAAAAGGGTTATATATATTTTTAAAAGGCATACTAAAAGTGCTCTTATTTTTACTAATTTAAAACTAGTTATCACAACCACGTCACGGGAACCGTACCCGTGGTCATAATAATTTTATAGCGTGCCTAAAAGCAAACTATGATTGTTCATGATTAATTATTTTTCCCTAAGTTCACGATTTTGGCAATGAATGGGTCAAGGAGATACCACACGTTGATAATAAAAAAAATGAAACTAATTTCAGCAAATTGGTTATAATGAAAACGAAAAGGGCTGAAGGACAACCCAAATGCCCAACACAGTCCGCCTGTTTAGGTGATGAGGCCCGTTGCAATTCATATCCAAAATGAGTGCAAGCTTATAGACTCTAAAAGTCTAATCTTGGGCCTTAGTGAACTGGCAGGGCCTCATTTCCAGCCCAAAACTTGGAGTGCATAATTTGCAAATTATTGTCTGAACCCAAAAAAAACTCATGCGACAACTAAAGAAAGCTTTTACACCAATGCATTCAAATATTCATGAGAAGGAAATGACTATTTAATTACATCAACATAATACCCAATAAGTAAACAATCTAAAAATGGAAAGGCTAGCTTCTAAGCTGCGCCTAAATCTATCAAATATGCCCTTATTCCACTGTTGGTCCCAACTTGACAAATCTGGCCAATTGATGGTCAAATCTGCCAAAAAAAAGAATGGCATTATGCTCAGCATTTGGGGCTTCATTTCTTCAACAGTTTCCAGAAAAGAGAGAAACTTGACATGCTTGAAGTTTGTAATCACATTTAAGCCGGATTTAACCATTTATAACACCACATAATCAACATTAACAGCCTTCAAACTTAGAGGTGACATAATTTGAACTCTAATCACCATGTTTAAGAACTCAATCATCCAAGTATTCAAATCAATCCACCATAACAAACGGCAAGCAAGATCATTTGACAAAACACCAAGATACACAAGATAAATCGATTCAAAACTTCATATTCACTATACCCATTCATGAAGTTATTACAAAAGTTTACACATTAACATCCCAAACCTTGCATACATCACAGAATAGGACACTAATGCTAGCCACATTTTAATCACAACTTTGAGAGAGGAAGTCGAGTCTAAAAAATGAAAAGCAGCAGAAGAAACAAATAACAGAGAAAGGAAGAGGAAAGATTAGAAGTCATATTACAAAAAGAACAAAATGCTACAACTCCATTTTTGTCACTTCAAAGCTTGTAGTAATACATGGGTACAGTGAAGAACAAAGAAAAAGCAAGGAATTCAGCAAAGGATGAATGGGGAAATGACAGCCCAAACAAAACAACAAAAGCAACTTCTAAATCAAATCCAGCAGCAACAGCAATGAATAAATCCCAAACTTTTGCTTCAGCTTCTAAAAACCCAGCGAAATGACTCCAGAATAGAAGAAAAATCAAAATTTCCTTAAGAACACTTTGTTTTCAGCCGTTTGTGCTTTTTTCACTCTTTTTTTGTGCCCTAATCATTGGCAAGAGGGTCTTTTTATAGAAGGGATTTAGGGCAATAAAAATCAGATTTGTAAATTAAAAGTACTCCCTCAACTTCTAATTTTATCAGCTTACACCCCCTGCCCCATGATTTTCCTTTCTCTTTCCTAAAATGGTCCTTGTCAGCCCTTATCTAGAAGCTTCCAATTGTTAGGATAGGACCCCTTAAACCTTATCCAAATTGACAAACCATGTACCCTTGTATTTACCCTTTTTTTTGCACTATTTTGATATTTACCCCAAGCAGTGCTGGACCTCTGGGTCATTTAAACCACAAGCCTAATTTTACTTGGGCCTTGGCACTGACAGACCCAAATCTGAATCCAAACAGTAAATAGAATCAAATCCAAACAGTAAATAGAATCAAACTCAAAGAAAGTTTAAACAAACAGACTTGGTTTAAATCGGGAAAACGGATTTTTCTAAAAAAAAAAGTACTCAAAAATAACATTAACAACTGCGATTAATCTAATTAATGAGTTATTATTACCAATGAATCAATCATGAACCAAACAAAGCAAATTTTAGACAAAAATTGTTAACACATGAAGGGTTATGAAAACAGGGGAAGAAGTATACCAATTGAATCGAACAAGCTTCGATATCCTCGAGAAACAGGGACGAATCAACTCGAACTCGAATGGGCAAGAATCTCGGCCAAGTGGTGAGAATTGCAACATGAACACTGGCTGGACTCTTTTCCACAGCTAGTGCTTCATGCAACAATTCTCAACACATCCCGAAGAGAAGATGAGGCAGAGGCTCAATGAACTTGGGATAAACAGTGGTCAGTCGCCCGGAATCCGGCCAAATCTATGGGATAAGGCATTTTTGACATCAACGCACTCCCTTTGTTGAAAAACTGGGGATTTCACACGGGTTTTATCACGAATTGAAGATTTAATCTGGAAAATTAGGGCAAAAAAAGAAAAAGCTTGGATTTTTATTTTTCGGATCTGCAATTCGAAAAGATTGAGTGGTCTTTTGGGGGAATCAATGGTAGGACGTGAACGAGGGGACGATGAGGATTGGCTGGTTAAAATGTGGAGGGATTTGGAGGTGCTCCGCCGCCGTGAGGCGATTTCCGGGCGGCGGAGCTATGGCGGAGACGGGCGGCGATTTCAGGGAAAGGAGACAGGTTTTGGTTAAAGGATTTAATTAGAGTAATGAAGGT